TAGTCCTCTTTTATTTTAATTTTATTTTTTATCTGTTGATTAGGGCCGGGAGGAAAGTATTGTTGGGTTGGTTCCCTACCTGCGTTTTCCCTCCCACCCACCCCTTTGCATGCATTTCCGAGTTGGTACAGTGCCACATCAGCAGTGCCACGTCAGCAACAGTGCCAGCTCAGCAGTGCCACGTCAGCAGTGCCACATCAGCAGTGCCACGTCAGCAGTGCCACGTCAGCAGTGCCACTTCAGCAGTGCCACGTCAGCAGTGCCACATCAGCAACAGTGCCATGTCAGCAGTGCCATGTAAGCAGTGCCATGTAAGCAGTGCCATGTAAGCAGTGCCACGTAAGCAACAGTGCCACGTCAACAGTGGCACAGTGCCACGTCAGCACTGCCCCGCCACCATGACGGGCTCAGTTCTGGGCATGCCAGGCCAACTGTCAAATGAGTCCATTGCCGAGTACCGACAGCGTTTCGAAACTCAGCTCGCACTAATCGCGGTTGAGGAACAGCGCCAGCTGGCAGCCGAGGCTGTCCGCCTACAGGCTGAAGCGGCGGCAACAACTGAGAAGCAGCGGCTTCAGGCCGAAGCAGACGCAGATACCCAGGCACGCCGAAAGGAAGCCCAGGATCTGCTACAGCGGCATGAAGCCACTAGCATCGGAAAGCTCAAGTTTTGGCACTTTGAACCATCCGAGGAGCACGACGACGCGACACCGGAAGAGCAGCACAAGGAATTCATGGCCAAACTCGTGACCAGGTTGATTTACACTTGTAACCACCTACAGTCCGAGCTGGCGAACCTCCTGCGGGCCGTACGGAGCCACAAGGCTCAGCGCGAGGATGTAGCACGGGCACGCGATTCCCGTGTACAGGACTTGGAGCAAACTGCACCAAGACCGGAGGCTGGCGAGTTCAGCAGTGCACCCTCTGCCCGCCAACTGGAGGAACGAGTTGATCACGTAGTCGCAATGCTCGGCGACATCAGTACCTTCGCTGCACCAGCCACCATCAGCAATCAGCTGGACACCTTGAAGACCGAAGTTCAGCAACTGCATCAGCTGCCTAACAAGGATAGCAACGCCGTGCAGCACTACAAGATGCCGACATTCCAAATCGAGAAGTTCGACGATTATGCGCATCAAGACCCGGTCCTCTGGTGGGAGGGCTTTACAACGCAACTTCGGATTTTGTTCGTCGCCAAGCACGCGTACATCGGCGCCCTGTTCCTCAACTCAAAGGGCGGATGCCAGATCTGGTTGAGCCACCTGGCAACCGTGCACGGCGTCGACGTCGCAGATTTGAAAGACAAGATCTCTTGGGAAGAGTTAACACGACTATGGAAGAAGCGGTTCATCGTGGACGACGCCCCGGCGCTCGGCATCAACCGCCTCTTCAGCATGACGCAAGGCAACACATCGACACGTGACTGGCTCACGGAATGGCAGAAGATCGTGGCAACGCCCGATCTTGACTTGCCATTTTCGCATCTGCGCCGCGAGTTCTACAACCGGTCATGTGCCGCCTTGAGCCTTGCACTTGGTGATCGCAAGCAATACGCGACCTTCACCGAAATCATCGACAAGGCAAGGGAGATCATCAAGACAAATAGGGCAGCTGCGCATGAGAAATCAGCATGGCAGCCAACCTATGTGGAGAAGGTGAAAACTGGTCCGCGGTCGCAGCATGTCGCTGCAGTCCAATCGGACAACATTGTGGAAGACCCGGCAGCCACCCAAGCGTCACGTGAGGGAGATCAGGTGGCTGTTGTCCAGCCGCGAAGCAACAATAAGTCCCGAGGAAACGGGAAGGCGAAAACCGCATCGCCGGCCGAAAACGGACAGCCAGCACCATGGGTCAAGTTTCACTTGACCGAGGCGGAATACAAGTGGCGCGGCCGCCACGGCTGCTGCTATTGGTGCAACGACACCAAGCACAAGACCTCCCAATGCCCTGATCAAGGCAAGGAGGATGTTCGGCCTCGTATCAACTCGGGAAACTGAGTTGCACAGGAGGTGAGGCGACTCCACCTCTCACTCCGCCAGATTCGGCCGCCGCCTCCTACACATCTGGGGAGGATGCGCATGTCGCAAGTCCTTGGTTCACTTACGAGGATTATGCTGTCCACTTGGTCCCACCGTTGGACCAACCGCTCCACGTGCAACAATCTACCGCATGCACGGTTTCATCACCATCGGCAACCGATTCGGCAGCTTCGCAGCCATCTATCGCCGGGGATTCAACGTCATGGTCAAGACTTGAAGAGCTCCACCCGTTGACATTTGCGGACTTCCAATGGATGCCCCTTCCCCGGTCCGGTCGATTACCAAAACCGCATTGCAACGTGCTCATGGCACAATTGCGGGATTACTTGCACACTGCAGTACCAACTCTATTGATGGACGCCGGAGTAGAGGTTGTCGACCTTCACGCCTACATTGCAAAGATCGACCGCGAGTTCAAGACACAACGGTATGACGACATCGATGCACCATTGTTATATGTACGCATTCAGATCGGAGAGGCGACCTGCAGCGCTTTGATCGATTGCGGAGCATCTCGCAACTACATGAGCCAGGACTTTATGGTACGCGCCGGCCTTGGCCCACGCGTCCGGAGGAAGTCCCAGCCTACGCAAGTCACGTTGGCACACGGTCACACGCACAAGTCAAAAGACCGGTGCGTAGATGATGTCCCCGTGTACTTTGCCCTGCATGCAAGCGAGGCGGTGTCCTTCGATATCTTGGACACCAAATTCGACATGATCTTGGGCATGTCATGGCTGTGAAGCGAGGATCACCCGGTGAACTTCTACCGCCGCACCGTTCACGTTCGTGATCGGAACGGAGTACTAGTCCCATGCACGGTAGCTCCTCCTCGCCCTTCGATCAGCTGCCACGTGGTGTCCGCCGCAAGCATGCGAGCTTCCATCATCAGAGACAACATCGAGGAGATGGGGGTGTGTTTTCTCCATGCCCTCCCGCCCCATGACGCTTCATCGACGGACTCATCTTCGGACCCACGTATCACCGAGCTTCTCGACGCCTACGGCGACGTGTTCGAAGGCCCGCACGGAGTAGTACCGGATCGGCCCATCCGCCACGAGATCATCCTCGAGGACGGGGCCGTACCTCCACGCGGTTGCATCTACCGAATGAGCGAGGAAGAGTTAAGTGTGCTACGGGCACAACTCGACGACCTTCTGGAGAAAGGCTGGATTCGGCCTAGCTCATCGCCATACGGTGCTCCCGTTCTCTTCGTCCGGAAAAAGAACAAGGATTTGCGGTTGTGCATCGATTATCGCAAGCTCAACGCGCAAACGATCAGAAACGCCGGCCCTCTTCCACGCATCGACGACCTTCTCGAACGGCTGGGCGGCGCCAAGTTCTTCTCCAAGCTGGACCTCAAGCCGGGATATCACCAACTCGAGATTCGGCAGGAGGACCGCTACAAGACCGCGTTTAAGACGCGATATGGGCATTTCGAATGGTTGGTTATGCCATTTGGCCTTACGAATGCCCAGGCCACTTTCCAAGCGACTATGACAACGGAGTTCCGACACATGCTGGATCGATTCGTACTTATCTACCTCGACGACATCCTGGTGTACAACCGGAGTTTGGATGAGCATGTGGAACACCTGCGCACCGTTTTGGAGCGGCTACGACAAGCCAAGTACAAAGCCAACCACGACAAATGCGAATTCGCGCGGCAGGAGCTGGAGTACTTGGGGCATTATGTGACGCCGCAAGGCATCCGTCCGCTTGCGGACAAGATCGAGGCCCTCCGCGTATGGCCCGAGCCCACCAACACCACGGACGTTCGTTCATTCATGGGGTTGGTGGGCTACTATCAGCGATTCATCACCGGATACTCGAGGATTGCCGCACCTATGACGAGATTACAATCGCCAAATGTGCCATTCGTATTCGATGACGACGCACGCCGGTCATTCCAAGCACTCAAGACGGCCATGCTCATAGCACCCGTCCTTAGCATCTATGACCCCACCTTGCCTACGAGAGTGACAACTGACGCTTTCGGCTATGACATTGGGGCAGTCTTGGAACAACACGACGGCGACGACTGGCACCCTGCGGAGTATTTCAGCCACAAAGTGCCTCCCATCAATTCGCTTGATGATGCAAGGAAGAAGGAGCTGCTGGCGTTCATGATGGCTCTCAAGCGATGGCGACACTTCCTCCTTGGGCGTCGTAGGTTCACGTGGGTCACGGACAACAATCCATTGACCTACTACAAGACGCATGATACGGTGAGCAGCACGATCGGACGATGGATGTACTTCATCGACCARTTTGACTTCACACCGAAACATCTCCCCGGCCTCTCCAATCGCGCAGCAGATGCACTCTCGCGAAGACCTGATCTTTGCGCTATGACACATCATGCCTTCGCATTCGACGAGGAACTCCAGCAACACTTCATCCGGGGCTATGAGTCGGATCCGGACTTCGCCACCTTGTATGCGCAGCTATCTTCGGATCACCCGCCGGCCAGCC